TGAGGGCATTCAGTTGTTCACAAAACCTGGACTTCGCCTCGTCTGAGCCATCCATGATTCGGGTGTAGGCGCTGATGATGGTGGCAAATACGCCTCTCTGAAGAGACAGATAGAGGGTCGCTGGTCAGTCGTCGATGCCTTTTGGGCACAATTCTTCTGACAATGAGACCAACTTTAGCGTGCATCACCAGCAAGCTAATCAGATGTTTTCAATCCTTTATGATCCAAAGTTTTACAGAAATTTCTATTCCTGAATATGATTGAGAAGTCTGTATACATACCTCGTACAATGTGTCAGTTTTTGAAGTAACCTCGAAAGCAACATTGTAGAACTCATCTTTATCTCTGAGATTTTCTCATTCTGTTTGTTCCTATGAAGGAACATTTTGATATCCATAATTTATAAATGCGCCGTTCCCTACCTCTTTTCTTTCCAAATATGCCATTAAAGTTAGGATCTTTTTAGATTGATGGATAGATAGATAATTTTTTATTAAATTATGAGTTCGGGACCACTGCTAATTCTGTCAGTGTCTTTGACTATAGAGTTTCCATGACGTTCTCTTCTGTTATGATGCAGCATTTCTTTGTGACGACATGTCGAATGTTTCCAGAGACATCTTAGAACTTGCGCATCCTAGATATCTTAAGTCCAACAGTTCGGATTTACTTGTACCTCACTTTATATATACTAGAATATAACGTTTTATAGGCAGCTACGTATCTCGTCAACTAATTCTTTATCCGTCCATCAAACGATCACGGAAATTTTCTAAATGGCTAGAAGATGCGTCAAGCGCGCGACAGGCAAAGAAAATGATTGGTAACCAGTAATCTGAACTCTCCCAAATCTGTCGCTGACATCTTCTGTCATTGCTGCTCCTCTATGCATAATCACGATACCATCACCCTATTAAATGACGAAAAAAATCTCCTTCGTCGATGACAATGATAGGGTGAAATGTTTTGATGCATTTTCTGCAAGACACCTTACAAATGAGTCCGAGCTAGCTCTTTTCTCTCATCCGTTTTTCAGCTATAACACTCAACACGGTCGATGTCTCCCCAGACTAACTTAAGAATGACAAGGCGTCAGACCTACCTAGGTTGCTAAGCCATCTATTCTCAGCTTATATTCCGAGTGGATTCCTCCCGCAAACATGGAGGACCTGAATTATTCTTCGACTTTTCAGGCCTGGATCCCGGTCTGACGCTAATAACCATCGGAGTGTGCATAAAACTCCCGAAGAAATTCTTGGTAAGATCATTTCCAATGGATTCTTGATCCCTGTCTGATCTGTCAGCTTCTGAGATTTGCACGACAAGAATTTTTACATGAACGATGCTGTGTGGTTTGTTACTGAACCTTTTTTAACCTAATCGTTTCCCTTCATAACGAACAGCAGTCGCTGGTAGTTAGTTACTGCCTTCTTAGTAAAACCTTCAAGAAAGTCCCGTACATTGTTGCCGCTGGAACTGGAAAAACTCAACATCCGGCCTCCTCTGCTTGATTTCATGGAGTCATACGTATCCAAAGTCAATCAAGAGGTCATGGTTGGTAAATGAGACTCAATATGCTACTCAATCACCAGTGTTGTAATTCAAGACACAGTTTTGGGTCCACCACTCTTTCTTTTTTACATCAATAATATTTCAACCGAAATCGGAACTTCACAAACATCCATTTATTCCGATGACCTTAAGTGTGATAATTCATATTCTAAAGATACAGCAAATTTTTGCGTTGAAAATATTAATTCCGATCTACTATGCTTGACGAAATGGATTTCAAAGCGGCGGATGTAGTTTCCTTCGTCCAAATGTAGTTTCATTTGTTTTGGCCCTGCCAAACGTCCTGACTGCTTAATTTTTCGGGGAAACACGCTCTTCGAATACTCCACAATAGAACAGTCTAGGCCTAAGTTATATAAATCATCTAACCTTTCCACCTCATGCTGACCGCATCTCTGCAAAAGCTGTACAGATATGTGGGTCCATACCACATATTTTCTTCCCTCCGGAAATGAAGCTAAGGCTTTACCAAACACTTGGGTAAGGTGATACCATACTAACAGCACATGTACTAGCCAAGAGTCCATATTAATACATAAAATTATTGGCCTGAGCCTATAGACCCTGTATAAACTGATCTACTCCAAGTTCGTAGATAATTTCTGAGGAAATTAAAAAGCGAGAACTTTATCAAATGTTTGTTCTTCCCGTCCCCGAATATTACTTCCACGCACTGACAC